TGCTGGTGGTGCACCTGGGCAGACGCGGTGCTGCAGAGGAGGGCCAGCGAAAGCAGAAATGCAATGGCTAGCCGCCATGTCGTGGACGTCCGATGTCTGCAGCTCGCAGCCGGTTTTCGTCGGCCGGGGTGGATGTTGTGGTACGGCGCAGCTGATTCGAGCGGTTGCTCAGCGGCAGATCGTCTGCATGACGAGAATGGTCCAAGACGTTGTTGCCCAACGGTTATCATTGCGGCGAGCCGACTCCTCCACGAGAGCACCAAATCATGACAGCCAGCGGTGTCGGATATGTGTTTCCGATCCCGAGTTCTTCCAAGCTCTTGCTCCTGATTTTCTGGTTCCTGATGGCTATGCGAGTTCCGGCGTCAATCGGGGGTTCGGTGGCAGAGGTCCTTCAGGGGGGGAAGGCTGGAGCGCGGTTGCTGGTAAAGACCGACGAGAGTTGGAAAAGGTGTCGTATAGGAGCTAAGTCGAATCTTGGCCGGGCTCCAGGATGAGGTCTTGGGGATAAGTAGTCAAGCGGGCGTCGGGGCCTGGTGACGCGGGCAGAAGCATGGCGCCCTTTAAGAGCAATTGCACGCATATTGGAATTGTAGTAGCGCGTGCATAGACAAGCCACAAAGCCAGCCATGTGCACCGGTTTCGGTCTGGCTCCCACACCGTTCAGGGATTGCGCGAGCCGGGCCTGCAAGGGCGAAGGTGTGCATTAGGCCTTGTGCAGAGAAGCCCAGAAGAGACAGGGGGGATGGAGGGCTGTCGTCCGGCCTCCCATCACCATGCCAGGGCCAGGTCACCTTGAAAGACTGGAGTCAGCAAGTGCGGGGGGTAGAGAAGCTAATTACTAGTCAAAGGGAAGTGGGGAGTGGGTCGAAGCAATCTAGAAGGCCGGATACTTTTTTGTTCAGCCGATCAGGGGGTCTGGCCCCGGGAAGCGTTGAGCAAGAGAGCAGCGAAATAGACATCGAAGCCCTGCCGATTTGCCGTAAAATCGCCATGTTTCTCCATATCGGCCCTGCATTATGGGAAGGGTTTTGGCCGAGTCACGTCGCTGCACACGAGAGGGACGGCCGTTTTTCGCATGCTCACCGTTCGGCGTCCACCGTCCGCTGTCTGCAGCTCAGTCAGATAACAAACCATCCAATAATGAGGCCGAGATCCAGGTAGGTAGAAACATCCAAAGACGGTAACACGCCACACTCAACGTCGACGGCGACATAGCGGGCTTGGGAGGGGCCGTCGTACCGTGTTCGTGCCTGTGGAACGCACGCAGCTCGAGAATGCCGAGCACACAAAGGTCATTGTTTTCCTTGTGTCCTCAGCCTGCTCGGAAACTGGGCGGCGGGCAAAAACTGCCAACCAGATATCGCCGTTGCCTCAAGGCGCCCACAGGCGGTTGACAGCCGAATCGGATGATGCCAGCAGCGCCGACCCCCAATACGCCAGAATGCGCAGCAAAAAGCCACCATTCCCGGGCTCGTGCCCCATCTCCGAGCATCTCTTGACTTCGTTCATCCACGGGAACAAGTCTCCTTGCAGCTACAAACAGTCTTCGTGGTCGGAGAAGATACATTAGAAGAGCAGCGATTGGATGACCTGTTGATCAGCAACAAGACCTTTGAGAGTCGCATGAATATTGAAGTATTGACAATTTCTTCAAGCTCCAGTGAGGATGATATCCCTCAGTTCTGCAGGGTCCGCCCTCGAGACTGCTGACCACAGTGTATCCGAAAAGAAGCACATTGGAATGCTATAAAATTCTGGCATCTACCGTTAACGGACTGTCCTCCGCCTCCAATGAATCAAGGGTAGGGGGTCGGTACGGGTAGGGCACTATGGTTCCTGGGATATGGATTTTGGGAGGGTCGGAATTCCCGATGATAAATGGAACATAGAGTGAGTAGGCACGGAAGACTCTTAGGGAACAATAGCGCAGCGTTTTTGCTTCACTGGCATCGCTTAAGCGGAAATTTGTGCCTTTAGGATGGAAGAGGCCAAAGTTTAAGGTGCAAATGTGAAATTGACGTGGTGTTGACCGCTGGCCGTCGTTGCTCAGGATACTGTTCATGACAGCGGCAAGTAATGTCATGCAAACGCGCCGTTCCTTTCCTTAACCTCTTGATATCTTTGACGAAGGCCAAAGCTCTTCATCTGCTCTTCAGCTCAACATCACAACATCAAGGCTCACTGCTTTCTCAACTATCCTATCTCTCATCCCTACGCATAGAAAATCCTTCTAAGCGTCGCATTCAGCTGTTCTTTAGCATCTGACTCTCGCAGCCAATAGTTCATCTCCGTACCCCGCAGAGCCGACCAACCCCCGGTATGCCCTCACCTACTCACTCAATCTCCGGCACGTTCGCCAACCAGGCCATCTCTTCTCGTCCTGTCCCTTGACGGCTCGCTGTCAAAGCCGCCTCTCTTCCGCTCTCGATGTTGACGCTTCTCCGACATCCAGACGTTCAGCTCCGTGATTCCGCGATTCCGCGATACACATGCCCAAGAACGCAGCGCCAAACGGTGCGCTTCAGCCCTTGCTGGCGCCATCCGCCCGCCGCGCGTTCCCGTCGACATCGCGGGCCTGAGCGCGGGCTGTGGTGCAACGTGAATTCAGCCACGCCGGCTAGATTGCCCGTGTAGATTTCTCATGACGACCACAAAGCTGCGCCAAATTCCCAAGTGCTAGGATCGAAAGTAAATACCGCTTGATGGCGGACGCCCGGGAATTTGGCATGATAAGCAGGCCTACGGCGTTCAACGTTGGTGGGGGGAGTCAAGAACGATCCCATATCTCCTGTGAGATGCGTGGTTGTTTACCGTCTGACGGCTTCCATTCCCGGAGCCGGCATCGCTCATCCTGCATAGACAACACCAAACACACCAGTGTTTGATATGCTCCACGTCGTCGAGTCGTCGAAGGCTTCCAAAGCTTCCAAGATCAGCAGCAAGATCGTCGCTGTCACCCACGTTGCTTGCCCCTGTGTCTGCCCCTCGCCTGTTCCTGGGAGAACCCCCCCGCGCTTGGCTGCTCAAGCCTCAAAGAGGCTGCCGCGCCGCCCCTGATTTTCATTCATACTTGAACTGGCTTCCATGGAGACTGGCATTGAGATGCAAGTCTGGTACGAACTGACAAGCCGATTACTCGGGACCGATTGCTTCCCGTCCGGCAATTATTACCATGCGCACAACTACCGACCGCTTTGCGAGCAATGCGAGGTCGTCGAGTGGTGCCAGTAAGCCGCAGATGTGCGCCTCAAGAAAGCGAGTTCAGACCTCCGATAAGATCAAAAAACTGTTGTCGCGAACGGTCTTCCTTTTGCCCCGCATCAGAATCGATGAATCTGGAAGTAAGACAAGTGATCGATGACCCGAGACCGTTGGAACTTCATTTCTTCGCGTCGCGCTGGCTGAAAGAGGAATGGATCTGCACCAATTAGGCCATATTGGAATCGCATACTTCTGCGTTCGGACAAAACAAGTTCCCCCTATGCATTTTCAATGATGCGCCATATTAATGCCTTTGCTTTTCTTTGTGCGCCTCGCTAGTGCACTTGACGAGGTGTGTTATCGTCGAGCCTCGTATGGCGCAAGCCATTTGCGCCAGTGAGGTCAATGACTGACGACAATGGCTTGTGGCTGCAAGGTGGAGAGAGTTACGAGTACGGATGTACAGTAATCGGGATACCAACTCGGCAACTGGCCAAACCGGTCGGGCGACAGTTGCGGAGCTCATGAAAATTCGGTCACCTATGTCGCCAGACGGATCGGCTGCAGCTCGATGCCGCAGGTGACTAAAAGCTAGACCTAAAGTGTTTCTCCGCGGGGACAGTTAGGATCTCGTCAATGCGGTTGATATTGCTCAAGCCCTCTAAGCTTATTGACCCCGTCGGCTAGGGCGTTCAACCCATCTTGATCAAATAAGCTAGGTACTATAGTTCCAGGCTACGTTAGTTCCACGGCTAGTAGCCTTGCTAAGCTAGCTAGAGCCTGTCAGTTGTCATTCGAAGACGGGATGGCTTGGTGCTCGATTCATGCGCCAAGGGACGATACATCACCCGCTTCCATCTGCTCGGGACGTCGATAGTCAAATGAGAAGGTTAAACAGCGCATATGAACGTGGCCAACATGTCCTTTGCCGACCTTGCAGGACCAAGAACACAGCTATCGCAGCAGCAAATGAGCCGCCTATGCTTCAGTGCGCTTTGCTCCCCGCTATGACGACTAGGCATGGCCGCATGCGGATATCGCGACATCTGCGATACGACATGTCATCTCTCGACCAGCGCCTAAAGCAGCAGGCGTCCCAGATGCAAATGCTAGCCTGCTGGTACTGTTATCGACGTCGAAGCCTGAAGGATCCGAGGTGCTGAGGACCGGTCGGCGTGGACGTCGTATGCTTTGCACCCCCCGCAACCCGGTGGCGACTGGCGCCGGAGCCGTCTTGATACTCGTGCCTCGAATTCGCTCTGGACTCCAGGCCAGAAGCGCATTGTCTGCCATCTGGCTCGCTGGGTGTTGGAAAAACGCTGCGTTTCCCAGACAGCGGACTCTTCGTACGACCACCTCTGACGTTAAGTGGGCGTGGTATGCATTGAACACCATGTGGACCTACTCTGCCTGTTGATGGGCCTCCCGCCAGGCAGTGTCCGGCTGGACCCGTTTTCTCAATCCCGTTGCAACCCTGGCAGGCCGTACTGTCGCGAGATGAAGGCCTTTTGGCGCCTTGTTGGGGGTTCGACTGTCACGTGAGGCAGACTACTCAATTTTGTCTGTAAGCCTTGTTGTTGCATCGGCTCCAGCCCAGCGGAACAATGGGTCGGTGCTCGCTCGAGCATGAGCTGTCTGCGCCTTGATCTTGGTTGCCGGTTGTGTACACAAAGTCTTCCCGAAGTCGGCATATAAAAACATATCCATTTAATGCACCATTCGGCAATGAGGCAGGCAGCCGTTGATGTTGTTGTTGATGATCCACCAAAGAGCAAAAAGATAATTATGCAAGCTGAAGCCCGAGGCGGGGCTCGAACCCGCGACCTTGAGATTTATTCGAGGCGAATAAGAGTCACACGCTCTACCGATTGAGCTACCCAGGCTGTTACTTGGATGAGAAAAAGTCTGTGTAACGAGAACATTAAGGGCATTGCGGCAATATCCAGGGCAAAGTGGGTCCAGGGAAGGCCAGGGTAGAGCCTCGGGCAATGGAGGTCGACCTTGACGCGATAGCGTTGTAGATTTGGTTGCAGAGAGACATGGAATAGAGCTATCGGTGCAGACGAATTCGAGAATTCGTGTTTCTCTTAGCCGAGCAGAACGCGAGGGGGATGACAGCATTCTGAACTAGCTCCAGAAGTCAGCATCGATCCAACATCAGTCTCGGAACGACTATGGCCAAGCTCCCGTTGGCAATTCTTATGCTATGAAAACCGGAGTCAGAGAAGTGCTTTCTTTGTCATACAAAAGAGCAATCGGATAGTTTCGATGTCATCACAGTTGGTCTGCCAGCCAGAGATGCGGGGGATATCAACATGCGCCGGAATATTGTTCAGCCGGGAGAAGACGCGCGACGCGTCTTAGTTGCCCAAACGACGCGCTTCCTTAATTGAACTTTGTCCTTCAACAAACCTCCGCACCACCCCCTCCGAATCACCACGACAAGATGCTGCGATCAGAGCACTCACGTATTGACCCGAAGCGGCGCACCGTCTTAGACCCGAAGAAACGCCAATTCGCGCAGCCTCTCTACAAAGATCAGGAGTACAATTTTCGCCTCAATCTGTACACGGTTCCCCCCACGGCTGAGATCACGCTCGAGGAGTTTGAAGAATGGGCGATCGCGAGGCTAAAGAGTGAGAATAGCCTGTATGCGCTTTAACCCATTTCTGACGAGCCAGTCCTCTCCGAACTCGAGACCTGTGCGTTCCGCAATCGCAATGGCGAAGAAACACTTGCATACATGACGCCCCTCCTCGACAAGAATCTTCCATTACATGCCAATAGGACCAACTCCTCGGAGTTGCAGGCCGAGCGCAAGAAAGATCATTATTCGCATTTCATCCTGCGGCTCGCTTTCTCTTCAACGGAAGACCTACGGCGGCGCTTCTCCCGCCTGGAAACCGCACTATTCCGACTTCGATGGCGCACCGACAATGTAGTCGAACGCCAGGAGTTTACTAACAGTCTGGATTTCAACTGGGAGATGGTGGATGATAAAGAGAAGGTCGAGATGGCCGATGAGCTTCGGGTGATGACAGAGCTTGCTGGTCGCAAGGCTGAAGATGGGTGGTTCAAGGTGGAATGGGAGCGTGTGCCTGAACTGGTTGAGCAGCGTAAAGTGCTCATCAAGCGGGGAGTTGCCTATGTCCCGGTACGGGAGCAGATGAGTCTTGTGGTCACTGAGTTTACGAAGCGACTTGACATTGCTCTCGAAGTGAGTAGTTCCTTAAGCCCCTCGCGGTTCGGACTAACAGCCATAGCAAACTGCCCGGGCTCTTCCTCGTCTGGACGAAGACGACCGCCTCTCTCCCATTCTGGCTCACCTCTCGCAATCCTTCACAGCCCCTGACGCAACCTACGACACGTCTTCCACTCCCTCCAGCCTGCACCCCACAGCAAATAACATAGACCAGTTGGCAGGGCACTTCCCGCTATGCATGTCAAATCTACACACGACGCTACGGCAGACCGGGCATCTAAAGCACTTCGGGCGGCTGCAATACACGCTATTCCTCAAAGGCATGGGCCTGAGTCTCGAAGACTGCATCGCTTTCTGGCGGCGCAGTTTCCGCGGCATGACAGACGACAAGTTCAACAAGGAATACAAATACAACATCCGCCACGCATACGGCGAAGTCGGCGGTGACGCCAACCGCCGCGGACGCGGGTACTCGCCCTACTCATGCCAAAAACTGCTTACAGAGGCGTTGCCGAGTGTAGGGCAGACTCATGGCTGCCCGTATCGCAGCTTTACGGCCGACAACCTTGTTGCACTGCTGCAGAATACGGGCGTGCGGGATGGCGAGGTGCTAAATGGGGTGAGGGAGGACCTGGCGCGGCAACGGTACCACGTCGCGTGCAATCGCATTTTTGAACACACCCACAAGAAAGAGATCAAGAGGGTCAAGGATGATGGGCTTTGGGGCCCGGCGGAGCTGGATACGATTCTGCATCCCAATACCTACTTCAAGCGGAGCTTCATGCTGAAGCACCTTGACGCTGAGAAGGAGGCTGCGAAGGCGGAGGGTTAGAGCAACTCTGGCTTTTGGCATGTCAATACGGCGTTGAGTGTGGGTAGTTTCGTGGACAGCATTTGGCGGAATGAATGATTGCAAGGCTTGTAATGTCAGAAACGGAAGTTCGATAGGCTTGTGAAGATTCCAGACTTCGAAAGGCTGACATGGCCAACGAACTCCACGTGACATAACCCCAGGCGCTAAAAACGTGGGGGGAACTCATGCTAACAGCCGAGGCTCTTCTCTATCGAACGTCTGTAACTCCATGGGATACGCGATGTAACCACAACATTCCAGATCGCCAGGCACATATCTGGACTTTTAAACACAGATCAAACTCCAAACCTAGTCGGATCCAACCGCCAGCATGTCCAGCGACGACAGTGACGCGTCCACGCTCACGCCCTTCGAGCGCATCAAGGCGTTCTGGGAATTTGTGCACAAGGAGCGCAGCGAGGTATGGGTAGGCCTACGCAGGATACAAATGTAATTAACGCGATCAGTTCTTCGACGCAGCAGTCAAAGACCACCTCCAACTAGTATCGGCGCACCTGGACCCGAATGACCGAAACATTGGCTACAGCACCTTCGAGTTTGTCGTTCCCCGCAGTCTGTGCAACCAGGGTGGGAATCTGCACGGTGGTGCCGTGGCGCTCATCTTCGACCTGTGCACGTCGATGACGGTTCCTGTGGTTGCCCGCGAGGGTTATTGGGATACCGGGCATGTTAGCCGCACACTTAATTGCTCGTATATGCGCCCTGCGCCTGAAGGCACGACAGTGGTGGTGGAGAGCGAGGTTGTACACTTGGGGAAGTCGCTTGGGATGTTGAGGGGCGTGATGAGAAGGAAGGATGACGGCGCGGTGTGCTATTCTTGCGAGCATCATAAGGCGAAAGTGGAGTGGCGGCCGCGGTTCAAGTTGTAAATGGTATTTGTTTGTTTGATGCCTACATTCGTAGACTTGATAGAAACGGCTGGTCGCTTGATGTATTTGAGTGTTCCTAGATTGGATCAATGGCAATTGCAAACGTTTGGCGTGGTCTGCGTGTGAGGTGGCCTGCCAGCGCTGGCGGATGCAGCTCGTGTGACTACCCTTCTCCTTAGCCATTGCCTTGAATCGTGCTTGAGTTAGGGTAAGAGTTAGCGGCAGGTTCGCTCTGCTGAGGAAAGAGAGAGGAAGCCGTGCGCGTCTTCTGCTGGGTGCCTGATGCCTACGACTTTGCGGTTCACTCTCCTCGAGACGGTGTAAGAAACCCGACTTCGGCTACAAGCGGACGGACAGCCTAAGGGGCGACGGATCGTGAGTTGATATGCTTTCTACCTATTGGCTTTGCAGAACATGGGCGATTTGCCGATGACCACGTCCACGCGCAGGCGAGAATGTGCACTGGGTGGCTGACCGTCAGTGACAGAACAAAACATAGCGTATGGTGATATCAGGGAGGGCCAATTGGGCGGTAAGTGAATCGCAAGCATCTTTGATACTCGGCAAGGAGAAAACGATCGAAAACAATGAAGGTGGTGCAGCAACGGCAGTCGAGACGCAGTTGATGCCAACGTGAGAGCCATGGAAAGTGGCAGCTTGAGGTACCTACAGCTTTCCCCCCTCCGAATGCCCACGCGTTGCCAAGACACACCATCCTGACTGCAGAGCATCAGCGACAAGCGCACTTGGTCCTTTACCTCCCTCGACAGCTTGCGCTCGCATATGAACATTCCGCCCATGAACATGGACCTCGATCACGAAGGAGGTTCGCCATGGGATGGTGAGGCTCGGAGCTCCGACTGACGGAGATGTGGGGTGCTAACTGCTGCCTGGTAGATGAGCCGTCGCTCGCATCAACCACCAACCCTCCCGCCAGCGATGCGCCGTCCGGAACTACACTCGGTAAGGCATATCCGTGCCCCTCATATCAACTGCAACATCAGTGGTGCCTCTAGTGGTTGGCATCCGGGAGGTCGCGGAGGTGCTAGCTTGAGCCGCTGGATCCCCGAAATCACCTCAAGACACCACGTTCTCAACCTTCAGATATGCATCGCTCGCCCTCCGACCACCGGCTAATATCCTCTTTCACAGCTTCTCCTTCATCTAAGCCTGCCCCTTCAGCCTCCACCCCCGCGGCCACAACCTCCGCACCTTCCCGTTCTCGCCCCTCCCGCACCCCCAAGCGCTATGGCACGCAACCCACGCGCCTCGAAGCCGTAGACAGCACGCTCGGCCCCCTCGGCCCGCTAGGCGATGACTTCCCTACCGCAGAGCCTCTGGCTTCGCCCGGCCCTGCTCAGCGCAAGGAGCAAATAGCTCCAGGACCGCCACCTGGAAGCTCACAGTCGTCGCTGCGGGACATGATGCACTCGGTCGACCTGAACGACAATGGGGACGGCGACGACGAGGACGGGCCGCCTCGGCCGCGGGTCCCGCCTCCGGTACAACCTCCGCAGGGCGACTTTCGAGAGCGTTCGGTTCAACCTAGCGTTAGCGTGGTTGAGGCGGCGAAGCCGAGCTTCCAGATTACGGTTGGAGATCCGCATAAAGTCGGAGATTTGACGAGTGCGCATACGGAGTACCAGGTCTATACCAAGGTGGGTTACGTTGGCTTGATCCGGACGAAGCTGATTGGGATAAGACAACTTCGAAGGCGTACCGGAATCCCGAGTTTGTCGTCTCAAGACGGTTCAGGGATTTCTTGTGGCTGTACAACCAGCTTCATACCAACAATCCCGGCATTATTATACCGCCTCCGCCGGAGAAGCAGGCGGTCGGCCGGTTCAATGCGGATTTCGTGGAGTCGAGACGGCAGGCGCTGGAGCGTATGTTGAACAAGACAGCAGCTCATCCGACACTACAACATGATGGAGACCT